TGTAGTGATTGTTCTCTCAGTACGACATCGCCGTAACTACGAAGGTCCTTCATACGCATGTGAGGCGTTGACGCCTAAGCTAACGTGTTTATAATTCAAAGCATCCATAGAATTCGGGTAACCATCCAATGGGGTGAAGAATTGCTATAGCATAATGAACGGTAACTGTAATACAAAGACGTTTTCTAGAACACAGTCATTGTAAGACTCGTTTAGCTTCACATTTACCTGGTAGAGGTTATTTAACATGGGAAACCTATGCATACAAATGAGGCAACATTACTCATCTAGGATGAGGCGTAAGTTTTCCAGCAAAAGTTAAACAATTAGGGCCTGACTTGACAGAAGACGCCAACGTCCTCAGATACGGAAGTTAGAAGACCTATTGCAAAATATGGAAAAACAATGGCACTTGCAACTGTAGACGGCGGAGAGAGGGAAGTTAATCGATAATTCGTTACTCAAGGTGAACAAAAATAATGGTTTGACAACAAAAACACACAGGAGGGGCACTGGCGAATGCGTTTGACGCTTGAAAAGAGCCGCAGAAGATCAAAGGCCGAGATAAATGTATGTAAAGTAGATTTTGAAATACGAAAATTAGTATCCGGACGCCACCACCCAGCCGCCGCTTGTCCATGGTCAATGAAAAGAGGAAAAGAGAAGTGTGGGACCAAAAGTGTACATTCATCAAAAGTATAGTGTCATTGGTTTCGATTACACTTTTTGTCGAAGCCACGGTAGCCAAAATCGTCAGTGCTCCGGAGTTGAGGCACATAGCCAAAATCTAAAAGAGCGGCCGAACAAGAGAGAGAAACCCATGTTCTTTTAAAACCGGGGACGGTGTGTGTTTTTAATATTGACTATTTGCAAAGTCAAACCGAATGAGATTAAACGGGTAAGTGAGCGTGCCAGCATAACGGTCTGGCCTCGTGCCACGCCGCGAAGGATTGTGTGACCGTGGGCGCGTAAGCTTACCGACCTTGACTTAATTCAAAAGCTGTGTGGGCGCACGCACATCCACACGACGGTCGCTTGCGCCATGGGCCGGATGTCGTAGCCAATCACCAAGGTGTGCGCGCGGATGTGACTGACTCACGCAGCAATGCACTAATCCGACTTATCTACGGTTCGAACCCAAATTAATAGCAAACTTCGGGTACCTAACAAATTGGCACAGCGTCGGCTACGCCCTAGAGATTTTGTTTCAAGAAATTATACCACGTTTCAGGCCAGCAGCTTAGCCAAAACAAATGAATATTCTGCAGATGAGGACATCCACTATGTGTCCAGCTAAAAATTGCAAGCTCCCCCTTAGTTAAACGACGACTATCCCAGGAAAGCAACTACACACAAACTGGCTGATTTTCTCTTGTATTAACACAAAGCTAAAGAATGGTCTCCCGAAAATGGAAGTGCTGGTTCAAATGGCCACACGGCCTCTTTAAACGATAAGGGAACGGCGACTGAATAAACGGAACGAGGGTACGCGCGCATGCATTATCGAGCTTTCTCGAGGACATGTTCCTACATAAGTTATCTTCTTAAAATAAACCACTCCACTTTCATGTCCACGCGTACCTCGATGACCACGTGCGCTCAAAAATGAAGTCACTGTTAAGGTGCAATGAAGTGACATCAGTGCCTTGTCAATACCATGCCTAGAAACTTGCTTCTTATGTAGCGTATTTAATTGAAAGCAGATACCGTCCAAAACACACGCCCTTATGTGAACCAGAGAATTTCGGCGCGAACACAAGCAAATCGTAAATTAATTAGCACATTTTTGAAGCTTTCGCTTGATATGGTTTCAAAATACGTTGTGGGATACGTAGTTTCATCAGGAGTGTAGAACCAAAACTGGTCAACTCAAAAAAAACGAGACATGTAATACAAAAGGCAGCATAAACGGATTTGAGAATACCGAGTATAAGTTCACTTGGGTCTATTGAATTCGCCAAGGTCAATCTGGTGAAAGATGGGCTGCTACAAACGTCAAGGTAAGCACTGTGATTCCAAAAACGTCGCAGTAAATAATTAAAAGTGGTGATACACACATTAAGGCAGACATGATGCCCGGGTTCGCCCATCTACATAAATGATAATTGTTTCAAACATGTGCATTTAAGAGTGCACATCAGGATAAAATCTTAGGCAGAAATAGATTATTCCAAAAAAATACAAATAGCTTTGGTACATAGATTCCACGAAACTAAGTCAATTTATAAATCTACTTTCTCAAAGGCACCAGAAACAAAGGGGACTATGAGATATTAAATTGCGTTATAAGCACTAAAATATTAAACACAACTTACATTCTTCCTATGCGGGGACCTTGGGAACATCTGCACACACGCAATTTAACCCTTAGGCAATCGGGGACCACATTTACAATAAGACATTGATTTACAAAGAAAGACGTCACAATTTTATCGGTGATAAGCTAAGCACCGTCTATATACCTTCCTATGGTGTTCAAGTGAGCAAATGCAAAGGTATGCTTAAAAATTAGGTTGCAGACAGGACAAGAGAGTTAAACAGGCGTACAACAAGAGCTGAACTGCAAGTGGAAAACTTCGAATCACAGTAGGACCTAGTGTCGCAAAAGACGAGCACACTACATTATGCGTTGTAAAAAGTAAGGCCAGCATTTCTTCAGGTATTGGTTTTTGGCAAAAATATACTGAAATGTGATTTAAATTTAATCAGTTAATGGTGCAGGCTATCTGCTCGGGTGATTACATGTAAACAACCCCTATATAATTCAGCTGCACCACTACCCTTAAGTTATGGAGCGAGTAAATTGCTCTGAACAATGCCACGTCTTCACACCTGACTGCACAATCAGAGATCGGCATAGGCATCACACGACAAACCATGAATTAAGCAACAAATTCATGTTGGTGAAACAATGTTTGTTCCTATAAAATTGTATTCGAAAACACGACTACTACCAGCAATCATTACACAAAGGAGTTACATTATAAAATAAAGGTACAACGGTATTAAAACAATCGGTCAGGAAAAATTGCACCTATAAACAAACATTTTAAGGGAGCGAAACCTACAGGCCGCCTTGACATCAAGGACCCTGCGAAATTACGACGGGGGTTATAATCTTGAAAGGCTGGAGTAGAGAGCGTGTCTGGTTAGAGGCTAGGCAAACCAACTTTAGACCCCATAACTTAAAGGTGGATTTAGTAAAGTACGATAGAATCAGTAACGATGGTTCATGCAAGATAACATTAAAGTTATAAATATGAGAAACGGTATGACCAGGAAGGTTGTGCATTGAATGTACCCAATTGGAAAGCGGTGTAAATAGAAAGCAATAAAGATATCCACTAAGATTGCCAGTGGTTTCAGCGGTTACCTTCTAAATAGATACAACAAATGAAGGCATTATGCGAATAAGATAGTAAACTTTCAACCTAGAAAGTAGTGTGGTGGTGTCAGTTTATTCGAAACTCCGAAAATAAGGTAAACGGGGAGATCACTTTAACAAAATAAACTGCACAACATTTCAAGGTAAGTGTTATAAACGGAATTAGCTGTCATTAGTTTTTCGTTGCCTTTCTCATCGCGTTATTGCATTTATAAGCGAACACGCAGATGGTAACACCGTGGTGACACGGACCTTAATAAAGAGGAAGAAGACAACGGACAACTGTAGGGAAGGAATAGATTCAGGGGAGATTGCCAAATCCCTGTTATCGGGAGCATGAGTTACTCAAAAAACTAGGAGAACGACTCATCAATTTGTCGAAAGTACACAAGAAGCTGATTCAGACCACCTCAAACAGCATTTACTACAGTTATTTTAAAGACTTACAAGTAAACAGTAGAACGCCATTTTGTACGAAAAAATGCAACATGGATCACGAAACAGGTATGTATAATTATGCACTAAAGATTGTGATTCGAATGGAAATAAAGTACAGTAGCGCACTACATGTACGTTACGCATTAGCATCCTGCGCAACACCGTACAAAGACATTATAAAATCAGTTTTTTTTTAACGGCGAGTTGCCCAATACATCATCCACACGCCAGTATTTTAAGATAAAATTCTTAATTACGGAAGTAGTAAATAACCATGAGCACGCGATCTCTCAATTTCTGATGTTCCAGAAAAACAAATTTTAGGATCCACTATATTTAATTGAAGAGTTCCTCCTTAAGCGCATATTTTGAAGCCACACCTCATGAAGGAGACCGATGGTTTGACTCTCAAAGCCAATATTCTACTACCTAATTAGCTTACGTGTACAGAGAAGAAAGGCAGTGCTATAGGTGTCTTAGAGCATAATTAGTTTTATGTACCATGGCACATACTTTCATATTTGGTAATATAAAATGCTCGGTCGATTTTTTCACGAGGACCAATCTAAACTAAATAGAATATGCCGGAGCGCGGCATTGTCTTTTCGTAGATTCTAAAAATGCTCATATTTGGATATCTATATTGTAGGCATGGTTATATCCCAAGAGATTCGACAACAGAAATATCACATTAGATGCTTTGATGCAAAATAGCCACTTAAATAAGTACAATTGCTGTGTGAATAATACATTATTTACTTCCCCCACAAGGCCAAAAGACCGTGCTTTGTGTACTGCCTACACGGTTCTCAATTGATCAACAAAGAACAGCTCTAGAATAATTAACCTAACACATATAAAGTCAGACGTCGTGTTTCCCGACTAGATGTGTACAAAATAGAATTAGCAAAACCCAGTTAGTTTATTTATATGATATACAAAGACTAATAATCTAAATGGACATTAACAAAGTTATTTTAAACACTTATTTGTCAGTAACAAATGGATTTTGAGCTGTATCAACAGAACCAACACGACCAATTAGGATTTATGCTAAACAGCCAAAACGCTATTTGAAGAATACGCATACGATACATCGTGCAAGAAAAATACCATTACTACTTCATGCACTCCAGAATTCGAAATTTAACAGATGGTTATATGTCTTTTATACAATGTTAATGCAAATACAAAAAAAGGACAAGTAGACAGAGCAACCAACACATTATGCACAATTATGAGTCTGTGAGCGCACTTAAATAAGAAACACAATATCAATGGAATGTCATAAAAGATGGACTAGTAGTTATTTTTGGAACCTAATACGACCTTGGACCTGAGCAATGTAATTACTAGGATTAACTCAGAACAGTCACAGGATATCAACACGAACTGTATCTGAAATTACCACGTACAAAATGGAACTCAAGGGTCAGAATATGTGGTTCGAGTTCAATTATGCATAATTACCCTAAGTATTTGCAGACCAGACCAGTACACAAAAGCACTTTCATAATATTAAACAGAACAGGCGAGACGAGAACACAAGATGAAAAATCAAACTAACGAGCAACACAGGAAATATCTTTGCTCTATGTATTCTGCAAAGGTGCAGCTTATTTTGGATAGAAGCAAGTTAGAGACTTCGTTAAATGAATGTAACAATTGCGAAAAGTGTTAGTCAGGATGACATCCATGAAATTAAAAGCAGATAATACAAACAAACCATTAGGAAGATCTTGCTTGTTGGCGAAAACCAATATAATAGCATCCTGCATCTCACGGTCATTTGCAATTCTGTGAAGTTCAATTTGTGCTTCGCGTATACGCTCCCGATCAGCGCTGTCCACGACAAAAATAAGTCCCTGAGTCCCTGTAAAGTAATGTCTCCAAAGCGGACGGATTTTTTCCTGGCCACCGACATCCTTAAAATGATGATAGGATTCCAACAACTAACTTACCCAAACGTTAAACCGTATGTTATCATATGATACGGTTTCGACATTAAATCCAACAGTTGGGATGGTTGTCACCGCATTATTAAGTTTTAACCGGTAAAGAATGGCTAAAAGATGACAATGAAAAGTTGATTGTACTGGTCTTTCCAGCAGCGTCCAAGCCTAGCATCAATATTCGCATTTCTTTGTTACCAAAGAGTTTGGAAAAAGCTTTTCCCATTGTCTAATAAGATAACCCAGTTCGACGACAAGCCAACACGACCGCCTTCGCCGTTAATACGAAACCTAACTCTCACTTTAAAGTACCGCCATGGGAGTCAACCGAGTTAAAAAGCACTTCACTAAAGTTTCAAACATACACAAAAGGAACACTTCAGCAGGTTAGCACAGTTATTTATTAAATCTAGGAAAGCACTCCAGCAGTTAAGTTTGTAAGCCTGAATGCGTGAAATCACACGGCTGAAAAGGTAATTATCACACAGATAAAATATCCTCTCTAGTATGACCAAGTAACAATTTATTTATGACATCAAAACCATTAAAACATTGCAAACTACAAGAAACGTCTTTTTTGTTAATCAAAAGTGTGCATTCTTTTATCGTTTAAGTCAATTTTTGACCAGGCTTATTACAGAATTGCTAAGTTTGATTATTATCCTTTTTACAGATAATTCAAGTGTATTTAATGCGGCACAAAAAAGTCTGTGAATATTATTGGGACCAACATTTGAGATTTCCTGGTTTTGGGTGAAAATGCCATTTACTTACTTCCGGATTCTCTTAAGGCAATATATAATTTAAGAAACCCGAAACTTAGGCAAGGATCTTCTTTATTGATAGATTTTTTTTCTACTTGGCGCTAACAGACACGTTAGGACATAACAGCCAGCCTGTTTGCAAAAAAGTGTTAAGAATCTCAGAATTTATATTGTCATCTAATCGGTCTTTCCAAATCAAGCAATGCTACTTGTTCTTCCATCCTTGAGTTCACACCTATGCGGATTACCCCTGAAATACAACAGTAATATATTTCAAACATTTTTAAATAACATTATTTAAGTTGATGAGAAACTTAAATTTACAGTCCTCATTACTAAAAATGATTTCTGATATATTTCTGGGGTCACAATTAATACAGAATAAATTAATGCATATTAATTAATTTTGCTTCTGGCTTTCTTCTTCTTTAAACTAAAGTCATAATTGCTATCAACTTAAGTTTATCCAACTTTTACCCTACGTACTAAATCTATGTTCTGGTCAACTAATTACTCAAAAATAAATCTTCCTAATTATCTTCTCCCGTTGCCTTCACTAAACACTTACATGCTCTTATTCCTTTATTCGCTGTATTTATTAGTTTGCAAAATCCCAGGTTGCCGACATTCCCATTCTTGTGTTGGCGACCAACAGGCAACTATAGTCGTATAGCATTCCCAAGATAACAATCTAACGGTAACCCACCTCGTGCATTCTTTCTGACAAATAAGTTACATAACGACTGCATAAAAGATTTATTGAAGGAGGTGGGCATAAAATGACGTAAAATTTATGGGCAGAACCAAGAACGTTATTTGTTAACAATCTAATTTTAGCATCAGCAGACCGTGGATTTTAACATCTAATAGATTTAATCCGAGGATCGGCAAACAGAAAAAAAAAACTTGACATACCAAAATTTGCTAGATTTTAAAAAGATAAGCAGATATTTTGAATGAGGTAGCACCAAATAGATTAGCGTACAGCAAAATGACTGCAAAACACCAAAATATATTTTACAAAAATAGCACTAATTTTTGAGTTTAAAGTGCGCTATTTCGATACTTACAAAAACTAAAGAAAAATTTGGTTCCAAAAAAGGCTTAAATTATATGTTTGGCTGTCCAGTTCATGAGTCAGTCAAGCAACCTAATCGAAATTTTAAGCGTTTTTAGGGAATACGCTTACAAAAATTAATTTTTTAATTTGCTGCCTTTTGCGGTTACACTACAAGGTCGCAATTTATACATGTAGATAAATTATATCGCCATTGCACCACCACACGACGTGTAAATTGACAGAAAACTTAAAGTTAGCCCGATAATAAATGTTGAAAAGTGTAAAAAATTTCTCAATGATATAATAAGCTTTATAAACCTGGATGATTTAAAATCTTTAAAATAGACGACAAGCAAATTTTGTCCGAACACAAATTTAAGGGATGAGCATTCGCCAAGATCATTTCCGACCGATATTTAACGTTTGCACATTAAACTCAAGTTGGTTATTAAGAAAAGAAATGTCTGACTAAATTTTCTCAGCATCAATTAACGGTAGAGGATTTGCCTAATAAAAAGAAAAATATTGATTGAACTAGAACCAAAATGATTGGAACCATCGAAATTCAATTTACTATGTTAGTAAAAATTACTTCAGGAACACCAGGGAAGAAATAAAGCCAGTGAATCTGATTTTGCCTAAAAATATTATCTTTGGAGAACTTTAGGTTCGAAGAAGTATACAAAAGGGCCACAAAAAATATTAAAATAAAAAAATATGCTTATTCAATTTATTCAGCATTCAAAAATTGATTTAAGCCTTAAGTATTTCAAAACAGAGAAGAATTAAGAATATATTCATTCCTAAAGGGCTCAAGTCTAAAAAGGAAAAAAACTAAGAGGCCAAAAACAAAAGCACTGTAAAAATATGAAAATTAGGCCACATCCATCAGAGACGCAGTGATCTATTTTTTTTCTATGTTAACAGATTAGGTGGATAAAATTGCGATTGCTATCACATTACCAAATTGCGTCAAATCAGCTTTATTTTGGCAATGTGAAGTTTCTTAGAAGTGTGCTGCAACATGCAGTTTTGGCCAACGCTCATACACTGCGTGAATCAGTGCGTTCAATATCCCGCAGACTAGGTGAAATTTACCGCGAAGCTAGCTTTAACCTTTATCAGGACATGACTAAGAGTCGAAGTCAACGAATTCTCCTTGGTGCCTGCATCATATCGTTTGCTCAGGATTCCATATCCGAAGATGAAATGATAGCGTACGTTCCCGATCTACTTGCCTCACTTACACCTAGCATTTCCTTAGAGCTGCAGAGGCTTTTGATATCGACAAGTATAACGGCTACATGACAAGTACCCAAAAAATTAAAGAGGTGGATGATGCGCCTCCCACACCAAGGTCGCAGCCAGTCGGGCGGGTATACAGTAGTCTCGAGAGTCCACTCACTTTCTATATCCGAGACCTTCGTCAATCTTTAAGGGAAAGACGACGAGAATTTCTGAATCATCTATTCCAAAAAAATGACCTAGCAATCTGCGGTGTGGAAGAGCAAACGCCTATTGCTCAGGCCTCCCAACCCGGTAGCATTGTACTTTCGGAATTGTCAGGCCGCCTCTTAAGCGACGGCACTGGTTTCGTTGACTCCGGATGGGAGCTAATGATTGATCGTCCGAATTTACGCATGTGGCGACGACCTTCATGCAAGCCTCTTTCGGGATCCAATGAATCTGGCAGAACAGTTGTCAGTCTGTATGAATATCGGGGTGTGTTAGTCCATAGCATACAACTTTTACATCATGCTCCATCAACCATTACAATCACTAAATTAAAAACTTACAATTGCTAGGCACTGAGACGCTTGACATTGTACCTTTTTCTATGCATGAAAAATACCCACCTTAGCGTATCAAATCCAGTCATTCTGCCTGCGTACGTATGTTTCATGTACTAATCATATCTCCTCAGTAATATCAGTCAAAACGTTGTGTTCTGTTGTGGCGTAGGTCCTCTGTGAACATGGCCCATTTGTTGCTAATTTGTCCCCCTGAATTTGAGGATAATTAAGAATGATAGAGGAAAATCGCGCACCAATATATTTACTGGCAAGTTAAAATTGTCATCCAGTTATGAAGGCCAAAATAGTTATAAAAAACTGGGCTAGGAGTGAGAATTCAAGGTTCAGTCATAGATAATGAGGGATGTCTATGATACAGACCTGTGACCAAAGGTCTCGACTTAAGCAACTTTTACGTATTGACGTTCACGAGCTGAGTACACGTAATTTAAGGGCAGTGATATCTGTCTTACCAATGCTGTGGTATAAATGCTGTTTTTGCGAATTGCCTGAAAAGGTCACACAGAAAGCCCATTTAAGTATGTGCCAAGCGTTTGTCAGCCCGGAATAGGCTTAGTACAGAGGATTGAGTATGATATCATGAAACGCGGTTGAATTGGTATGGTACAATTAATATAGGGGAAGAAGGCAATCAATGCGTCTTAGAAAGCTGATCCAAATATTTGGTAATCGGCTATTTAGTTCGGAAAAGTCTATGATGGTTTAAGCGATACACAGATGTACGCTGCAGTCGATCCCGTTCGATTCCATTGATAAAAAATGTATTTACGCATAATTTTAGTGTGCGGAAGCTTTAGTGATATTTCAGCCCAATGTTTCCTCGAAGTGCAGTTAAACCTGGCCTATCGACGGCACTGGGATAAAAGTGTTGTCGTCCTTGAGTCAACGAAGAACGGTGACGATTCTGGCCGGACCGAGGTGGTCCGATGGGTTTCTAAGTTCCCTTTCCCGATGGCTCGTCGAGAGTACGTGTACGCTAGACGCTGGTGGCTCACTACCGCTGCGAAGGACACTCAGGCGTTTGCTTTGATCATTTCGCGTACTGGAAGTGGCTCGTTGACGGCTACTTCAGCGATTCATCGAAGTGGCAGTGATGAGATCCAATCAGGGAGCATAGTTCCGGTGCGTGCGTACGAGTCAAACATGCTTATTCGCTCGCATGGTAAAATTGACGAGGTAAGTGCCGATTTCTCTAAATGAAAATCAAAAACTGTTCTTTACCCGAATGCGTTGTAGACACGTTTTTTGCTGTGGTTTTAAAGCCGCAAGTACTCGGATTGGTCTATTGGGCCGGAATGTAATAAACTGCTTATACTACGTACAGGGTATCCTCATGTACAAGACTTGGTGGCTGGCTTGTGTGTCCGTGCCCCCAACGGCTGTATGCTTATGGTCAAAATGAGTGGTTACCTAAAATAACCGTTCACTGTCTTTCAAGAAATAGTTTAACTGTTAAGATACCAGTTACGTTTGCTTAAGGCAAGCAGTAGTTATGTGTGAAAGACAGTGTTTATCAAGTTTGTTAGGTGGCATGTTACGTACAAGTCGACTAAGTTTTATAAAGTCGTCGGGAGAGTTTTTTGGTTTCCTGCCCTGGAGCTGCACTAGATAGCCTCTAACTTCCTTGTTAAAAACAACCAAAAGTTCCTACTTATCCAGTTCAATGCCTATAAACTGGATATTTGTTTCCTTGCTATTGTAAAAGCCGTGCGTCCAAAGCAATCCTCCCAGAACTGTCTTACATGTCATAGTTATGATTTCGGATGTCTGTGTGATGGTGAACCGATTCAGTTGGTGGTGGTTAGTGACTTAGTTGTGTATTTGTTTCCGATATTTAATGGACGATAATTTAGTTTAGCCTTAATTTGGTCAAGTTCCTTATTGTAACTTTTGATATTGCACAATTTCCGGTTCGTGTTGTGATGCTAATTGCAAACACTAAATATTATTCTGTGTAGAACCACACGAACTTTTTATACCCTTGAGTCTGTACACGACCAGGCTATTTGCATTTGATTTCCTGTGACAGGCTCACGTATGCAGACCCTCGCCTACTCCCCGACTTCTATAACGCCATCCTTATTCGTGTGTTTAAACCACTTAGTTGCACCGCTTCATTTTACGCAGTGGGTGATCGTGGACGCAATAAAAGCACCGTTAGCAAGACACATTCGTGCAACACTTTTTACATTGTGATTTTGTCTCTTGTGCAAGTATGTCTGATGAGTCGTGTATCATTAAACCTAATAAATTATTTGTCTTTGACCTACTACTTTCATCTGCTAAAACAGGCTTACTGTAACGGAGATGCAGGGTTGTGTAAATGGATCTGCGGTGCCCCTATATGCTCATTTTCCAACTTCTCCCCACACACACACACACACACACACACAGAAAGGCAAAAGGGTAGTTACTGCGAACCAACATTATCCTGTTCTCTTCACTCAAGGGTACGCGAGGAACTCGTTCTTTTGGGCACAATGTTTCTATGTAATGCGTCCACATGGCCTCAAAAACAATTTGTACGAAATATCCTCTGTTGCTCGGATATTCGAATACTGCTTTTAGTGCATATTAATCGTCGTTTTGGACAAGTCGTTTTTTGTTTCTCTGCCTGCAACCAACCTCACAACAAACGCAGACAATCACCTTGAAGCAAGACCTTCATTCTTGGTGCAGTCCGGGAGGTTTCCAGCAAATGAAGCAGTAGCATGGAAAGAAACTTGCCTTGATAGACAATTCAATCTCATTAGATGCTTACACGATTTTATTCCCCTGCTGCACCAATCACTGTGCCTTTCCTGCTCAAAACTAGTTTTTTCCTGGGGTTCAGTCCACTTATTAACCCACAATTTAGGTTGTTCTTAATGTGGTGTTCGTTTTTTTATTAGTGTCTATAACTTAGAGAAGTTTGCTTTTAGGACTACTTACTGATGATTATACAAAGGCGCGTAAAAATTGGAATGGTTGTCTTAATATTTGATTTGTATACTAAAAGTGCTTTTGGTATTTCTCAAATTGATTGATTAGTCGTGTTATTCCTGCGTGTTCTTAATCATTTTGGAGCTAAGTTTGGTCTTATATGACATTCTCTTTTTGATGTTTTGTTTTAAGCTGTGGATTGCTTGAATCAGTTAGCCCTTTAAGGCGTAAATTTTAATTGGTTCTGGCTGTGTTTAGTGGTGGTTATTCGGTGATCTCGGAGTTCATACATGCGAGTCATCTGCTGAGACGTTTGTTATTGGTTCTTCTGATTTTTCTACAAAAAGCTGGATTTTAAAGCAATCGAATTTATATAACCTTCCTTTGATGAAAATATTAGACGACCTCTCGCTTGAAAGCTTAACAGAACAACTCTCTCGTGCCAGTAGGAGATACGTCCTCGATGTAAAGTAAGCTCATAACATCCATTAATCAGTCATATTGATACGGGAATGCTGCCAGTGAGCTATTTCGGTAGTCCGTTGTTGGGACTATTCATAAAATTGTAATAGCTAGCATTTGAACCTCAATCTGTTTTCTGGGTATGTTTAACTAGATAAATTGATTTACGTATCAACCGTGGTACCAATGTCTGACAGTTTCATCGAAGTTCCCCGTTGATGCACCTGGGAAATACATGTTTTGAAACATTTTTACGATGTACAAAAGTATGGGTCTTGTATGAATGTTTTTGCTAATTTAGGTGACCAAATCTGATTGTTTAATGTGATCTCTATAGAATGTGAATTTGCTTTTGACGTGCCGATCATTACCTTCTTTGTCTAGGCTTGAAAATTATTCTTGTAAGATGGTATCAGAGGAAAAACGTCAGTACAAGGACTTGGTCTCTCGTCTAGAAATTGAAGGTGAACAGAGTTCATGTCTACGACTTAGTTCATCTCGCACGATTCGTGGTCTTCGTGAACTGACGGGACTGCCTATCTCTAGGTCTTCATACCAAATGAGTTCATCCCAGGCTGAGGTGAATTGCGTTAATTATCTCTTCAGCGCCCGCCTTGCCATTTGTGGTTAATTTTCGTTTATTTTTCACAATTCAAAGGCAGATGACAACGTCTCAAGTCGCAACCGTTCTCGCACCTCCTCGAGCTGCTCAGAAGAAGGGAGTCTCAATTCTCCAACGAAAGCTTCGCAGCTGTCTATAACCGCAAAGGAATTTTTTTGCTTAATGAGTACACTCAACCTTTCCTTCAACTCCGCCTACGACTTTCTAACTGCAGAAAGTGACGAATTCTGCCTGGAGCCTGAACTAAGGGCGAGTGTGACTTAAGTTGGGATTTAACCGTTAACTAGTCGTACACGTTCATTGTTTGGTACACTGTAGGTCCTGTTCGATTTATATTAAGTTTCTGCTTTTTACGTAGCCATTAGTGTCCAGATATACCACTTTCAAAAATTCAACTTCAATTCGCTACATAAACGCGGTTTGTCGAATCTACATTGTTTGCCGATTGCACGGCTTAAATTCCTGTTCCCATCAATGGTTTTCTTGAACTATACGGCTGAGCCCGCACACTAAATCGGATTTTGAAATGCGATATCTAATTTTGTTTCACAGATAAACTGATGTTGATCTTGCTATTCGAACTCTTTAGATTGTGAAACACTACATCTCGCGTCTGTGCTCAATTTATGTGGACAAGTACGAGCTGCTCGCACCTAAATTATGGCTTGCAATTAATGAAGCAATTGTGCCTCACAAGTGTGTCATTTACAGGTATAGTTTCTTTTGATGCACCTTAAAACAAAACGACAGTTAACTAATTGTCGTTCCCTTTTCGATACGGTTACGACATCCACCATCCGCAGATAAATAACTGAAATGTATCGCGTGTTTATGGGCAAAACTTCTGCTTCTTCCGGAAAAAAAGCATTCACTCGAAGTATTTCAATTGGCCGTCTGAATCTTTCAAGATCATACGTGATTCTGCTTAGTGGTAACGCTTAAATCGTGTGAATCGTACAGTTTACGTTGTGGAACACGAATCGCTGATAATTCCTAGGTTTTACTCTTCTGTTAGTGTATATTTTGGTATAATAAAATAAAACCTAATGTTGCCTCTTTGGGATTGTTTAGCTTTTCTAGAATGACACCCAACCTTTATTTGAATGGTTTTTTTTGTTTAAGCTATAGACCCAATCATGCGTCTGATCCGTACAGCAGTGGGTGCCTTGCCTCATTCAATTACTTCTTCTGTAACCGTGACTTGAAACGCATTCTCTTCTTTTCGCTTCGCGTACTAAAGTAAGTTTGATCCAATCCAGATAGGCTCGGGCTTATGCTTTGTGTGCGTCCCTCTACTACCCAATCAAGATCCCGGGGGTTTTACAAGATTTTGCAATAATGCAAAGTCTCCTGGCTCATAATCACTTTTGTATTAAGAGATCGGCGTTTGGCATAGTCATTGTTCCTCAATGCCTAAGATAATCAAAGAACTGCCTTCTTTAAGTTTTCGTTAATATTTTCTAGCGAATCACCGGCAGAAGAGCAGTTTGAAGACGAAATGCAGGATATATTTTGAAAGGCAGCAACAGAAGGAACCTCACACAGAGACGTGACGCTAACTCCCATTGTCTGTAACCTTTCCCCTGTACAGTGGTACTTCCTATTGATGTTATAAAATTCTCTCTACTCTTGAGCTCCCCCGACTTAGCTACGTGTAATTTTATTTACGATTTTTTTAATGCTATCTGCTATTCCCCCAAACATGTCGCGTTAGCATACCACATTTTTGGTCTACATAAAAAATAAGGGCCGGGTGGATAGCAGCAAAAAAGCGCGCTGTTTACTATCTGCATAAAAACACGGTCCGCCAGTACCTCTAAGGCGTGGTGTTTAAATCAAAGGGCACCTTAAATACCGTGCTTAGTTTTGGCTACGGATAATTATACAAAACTTGTTGGACTGACCTATCCGTTAAAAGGAATCTCAACCAAACAACGTGCATGCACTCTGCTATTTATTTGTTCACGATGATGTGCTCACAATACTAATGCTGGTTGCAAGTTTACTATCCGAATATTCAACCGCTATGACGAGACAAACGATTGAGCACTTCCACAAAATCCGTGAAACCTCATTGTGGCATAATGGTCCCCGAGAAGTTCGCCTGCATTTATCATAGACCACCATATCGAGATGGGTTTACCTTCATTCACGCGAAATCCCAAAACGGCAAAATTAAGCTAGTTACACTACGCGAGTATAAGTTCATGTTCAAAACAACTAAGTATGGACAAAAAACCGATAGGACTGTGCACAGATCGGAGTGTCGGGGGTAGGGGTGTTATCTACATTCATCGTTGGAGCAGAAACGTCACTAGATGGGCGACCCGAGAACTCACCGTTTTCCTTCGGACTGACGGGTTGGGTACAGACTGGAGTAGGATGGCGAGGTGAAAGGACTACGGACGGAACACTGCCAGGAAGACCATTAACAGAGATCTCTAGGGCTGCGCCGTGAAGCTTCTCCAATAATCGCGGAACAACTGTTGGAATAAAGATTTTACAAGATTGAATATTGGGTAATGGAGGGCTCGTAAAAACTGAACCCCTTCACGTTCTAGGATTTTAAGTAGTTATTTGAGTGACGGTTTTCACGATAGTTTAATACAGAAGCCTTTGGTAAATAGCTGATTTTGAAACCAAAACGTACGTCAATGAGGTAGGGAGCATTTGAACGTTTCTAAAGGTCTACAAACGATATTGAGTTTAATTTCCTCAAACCCAGGTCACACATTTGTTTATCCGTCAAACGATTGAGAAAGCTCAAAAGGATCTATTGGACTGCAAATGGATGATACTCAAGCTCCCAAGTCGTGGTATAAAGTACACTGGCATTCAACGAAGACCGCGAGCTTAAAGAACACTGCAGGGAGTACGTATTTGCATTCACACCGACACAAATAAAAACTTGCCAGTTGAGAAGAGTCGACTCGCGGCTTCTGTTGAAAGAGTAAGTTGTGGATCATCAGAATAGATGAGGAAGTAGTCCAAACCAGGCTGAAACGGTATAAATGAGAAACAGTTAATTTACGGTAAACACCGAAGACATTTTCAACGGTCTAAAATATTCATCAAGGTTGAAACGATTAAATCAAGTAGATATTTAATGTGTTTCCAAAATTCTCTTACGAATGACAGTCAAATTATGGTGAAAAATTGGGCAAGCTAGACGACGCCAAATGC